CATTTTACAATCTCATCATCAGTGTATAAGAGTTCCAATTTTTCTACACCCTCACCAGCATTTGTTTTCTGATTTTTTGGACTATGCTGTTAATGCTGGGGTAAGATGATATCTCATTGTTTTGATTTGCATCTAATAACTAAATATTGTGAGCATTACATGTGTTTGTTGGCCACCTAATTGTTTTCTTTGGTGAAATGTCTATCCTCCTCTGCCCACTTTTTAATTGGATTGCTTTTTGTTGTCGATGTATTGAAGTTTTCTATGTATTTTAGAGATTAGACCTTTGTCTGATATGTCATTGCTAATTTTTTCCCCCAGTCTGTAGGTTCTTTTTACTCTTTTGGTGAAGTCTTTAATGCACATAAATGTTTAATTTTTAGGTGGTCCCAGTCATCTAGTTAGTCTTCTGCTCTTTGGATGTTTTTAGATACTTTTGATAGTATATTTATGCCACATATCAGGGCCCATAAATTTGCCCCTATTTATCTTTGATCTTTATAGTTTTAGTATTTTTATTTAGGTTTTTGATCCATCTTCAGTTAGTCTTCCTAGCCGCACACGGTATATCCTCTATTTATGCAGGTTTCTTTTAGTAGTATTTTATAGTCTTCTTTGCATAGGCCTTTTGTACCTCTAGTTAGCTGTATTCCTAAGTACTTCATCCTTTGAGTGACTAAAATGGTAGGAGCTCTGGTGTCATAGTGCTTAAGGCATTTGACTGCTAACCAGGAGGCTGGTGGTTCAAACTCACCAGCCACTCCTTTGAAGGAAGGGCGATCTACTACCGTAGTGATACTGCTTCAGAAACCCAAGGAAGGGTTGCTATGAGTTGGATCTGACCCGATGGCAGTGAGTTTCCTTTTTTTTTTTTTTTGTTATTATAAATGGCATTCTTTTTCTGACTTCCTTTTCAGAGTTCTCTTTGTTAGTGTAGAGGAATCTACTGATTTTTGTATGTTGATCTTTATCCTTTGCTGAATCTATTAGTTTCAGTAGTTTTCTTGTTGAGTCTTTAGGATTTTCTATATATAGAATCATATCACCTGAAAACAGAGATAGTTTTACTTCACCTTTGCCAATTGGATGCCTTTTATTTCCCTTTCTTGCCTTATTGCTGTAGTTGTAACTTCCAGAACACTATTGAATAGGAATGGTCATAAAGGGTGTCCTTGTCTGGTTCCCATATGCAGTGGGAATATTTTCAGTCTCTATCTGCTGAGAATAATGTTGAGAGTGGGTTTTGTGTATATGTGCTTAATTATGTTGAAGAATTTCCCTTCTGAATAGTTTGCTGAGTATTTTTATCTGGAATTTGTGTTGGATTTTGTCAAATGCCTTTTCTGTATCAATTGATATGGTCATGTGGTTCTTTTCCTTTATTTATGTGGTGGATTATGTTGATTGTTTTTCTAATGTTGAACCATCCTTGCATACCTGGTCTGAATCCCACTTGGTCATGATGTATTATTATTTTTGATACGTTGTTGGATTCTATTGGCCAGGATTTTGTTGACAATATTTGCATTTATATTCATGAGGGATACTGGTCTATGATTTTCTTTTTTACTGGTGTTTGCCTTGTTTTGGTAGCAGATTTATGCCTGCTTCATAAAATGTGTTTGGGAGTATTCCATCATTATGGTTTGTAATAGTTTGAGTAGAATTATTGTCAGCTCTTTGAATGTTTGTTAGAATTTGTCAGTGAAGTCATCTGGTCCAGATGATTTTTTTTGTTGGTATTTTTTTTTTTTTTTTCTTTTTTCTTTTAAATTATTTCTTCTTTTGTGATGGGCCTGTTCAAAATTTCTACCTCAGATTGTATTAGTTTGGGTAGGTAGTGTGTTTCTAGAAATTTGTCCATTTTTTCTAGGTTTTCAAATTTGTCGGAGTACAGTTCTTCATAGTATTGTTATTACCCTTTTTATTTCAGTTGGTCCTGCTGTGACATTGCTTTGTTGTTGTTCGCCGTCGAGTCGGCCCTGACTCATAGCGACCCCTCCTTGGGTTTCCGAGGCAGTATCACTACGGAAGTAGGATTGCCCAACCTTCTTTCCGAGGAGTGGCTGGTGGGTTTGAACCGCCAGCCTTCTGGTGAGCAGTCAAGTGCCTTAGGCACTATGCTACCAGTCATGTTATTTGCATCTTCTCCTTTGTTAAATTTGCTATTTGGTTGTCAATTCTATCAATCCTTTAAAGAACTAACTTCTAGTCTTGTGGACTCTATTGTTTTTCTGCTTCATTTATTTCTGTTCAAATCTTTAATACTTCCTTTTTTTCTGATGAGTGTAGGCTTTTTTTTTGCTTTTCTTTTTCTAACTGTTCAAGATGTTGGGTTAAAGTGTTCATTTTGGTTCCTTTTTCTGTATTGATGTGTGCATTTATTGTTATAAATTGTCCTCTGAGCACTGCTTTTGCTTTGTCCCAAAGATTTTGGGATGTTGTATTTTCATTCTCATTTAAGTAATTTTTTAATTCATTTTTAAATTTTCTATTTCCTAGTAGTTTTTAAGTAAGGTGTTCTAAAATGCTTTTAAAAGACTGATAGACTCTTTACCCAGTAAGTGAACAGCTCTATCAATCACCAGCCAAACAAATCACAGGCCCTTACTTTTGTGTTAAGTCTACAGTAAACAGTTTCGTTAAATCAGAGTTGGGATTCAAGAGAATATCCAGAATTTTTTTGGAATACTGAGATAAAATATCAAAAGACACCACAAAATTTGTCTATATCTTTTAGGCAGTCTTGGCACTCACTATGTACAATTTCTAGGTTAATCTTTGAGATCAAGTTTAAACACACACAATTCACACAAAAGGTAATTTTTAATGTTACTTTTACTTCAAAATACCAAGACATCATTTAAATAGTAAGCATTTATGAGTATTTAGTATTTTATAAGGTTGAAATATAAACATCATAAATATCTTATTCAAAGCCATGATACAGCATTATAAATACACGTTATTCCGAACTTTTAACAGATTCTGGTATTGACACGTCAACTAAGTGGCATTAAGGAACTTATGACAGAGTTGTGGAAATGTGCTCATTCAACCCATACTGTTACCTTGAATTTCACTGTATTTTCCTCATTTTCATTGCTGATGAGTGAAAGTGGGGAATAATGCTAGGCACTAAATGAAATGAGAAAGCTCAAGATTTAGAATCAGATCTAGGGCTCTGATACAGATTTTTGTAACTTTCTGGCTACATGACCTTGGGGAAATCATTCAACTGTAGGAATTCTTCGCCAGGGATGCTCTAAGAATGCAATGAGGCACTGATGTGAAAGTCCTTTGAAATCCAAATGTCTCATGTTTCATTATACAGAAAATCCCACCTTAGTGTAGAGAAGGAACACTTTATGTGTGGTCTTTTATATCCTTAATCTCCACTGAAAAAAGACTATCATCTGCGTACAACATAACTAACTTTTATAGATAGAGAGGCCTTTAGAATGGAGTCTCACTAAATTTTTTAATGTGTTTGAGACACTAATAGGAATTTACCAATTTTTCCTAGTTGCTATAATTAATAAAAGCTAACATGTACAAAGCATTTACTATGTACTAGGTACTTCTCTAAGCACTTTGCATAAATAAGCTCACATAATCCTTACAACAACTCAGTGAGGTTGGTGCTACGGTTACACCCATTTCACAGATGAGGAAACTAAGGGCATAGAGTAGAGAAGGATTCACAATCAACTATGATCCCAGCTAGAATCTCACCCTTATTCACTGCATTCATCCTATTCACTGCTTTCTATATATTTTGCTATTTTCTCCAATTCCCATAAATCAGACCTTTATGGTGGTCATTACAAAATACTATTCTATACTTTGGAAGTGAGAAGGAATGCCAGGCTTGGATAATTCTCAAATCTGGGATGATGAAACACAGCCTAATGAACTGTTACACTGTATTGGCAGAATATGCCGTATCTACAGCCGTGTGTTAAATTGAGAAGATGAGGCTACCCAACTTTCCAAAGCACAGGAGGAGAGCCACAAACTACATCTGAGCAGGTATGTGGGGTGCCTGCTCACCACGACTCTTGAGAAGTAGTTACTGCATTAAAGGAGCATGTAGAATATTTCCACACTGACTTCCCCCAGCTTTGGCCTCAGTCATCAAAACGTGTGGTTTGGACATGAATTTGGAATCAGTAATCTTCCTAGCACCTTGTGCTTTTATCCCCTGCTTCAAAATAGTTTGTTCTGTGTTCCATTCCTTTAGGATTTGCTAGGAGACTAAGAGTTTAAGTTCAGAAATCCCTTTATATGTAAAGGTGGTAACTTTGTGTATTCTTATGCATTTTACTTGAGCGTCTCCACTACTTTAGTCCTCAACAAAGATGACTAATTTGAGAACTTAAAAGTACCATGGCAGCTCAAAGGAAGCTGTTTTGCAGATGGTCCTTTTATTATACCACATAGGCAGCTTGCCTACACGTCGAGCCAGCTGAGGCCAGCGTGTTGGGTGGCTTCAAAGGAAACCCAGTGGCTGTTCTAGTGGCAACAAGTTAATTCAAGTGCACAATATACCTAAGCTTCCAGGAGTTTGCCTAAGCAGTAGGGGTCATAGCAACATATTAATTTATTTGGGGCATAATGGTAAAAAACTTTAATTAATTGAAAAGTACCCATGCAGGAGGGCGATTTACTTAAACTCCGAGTTTTCCTTAAAAATAGGAGCAGACTTAGCGCCCTGGGTAAGGCACTAATCCAATTAATGAAGGCATTGAAACAGCGCCATGAATCTTATGTTATTTCACATAATTATTTGACGGGCTCAGAAAGAAGGAAACGTAGGTAGAAATAACAGTGCTTTGCAGTGAGTTTCTGCCATGTGGCTTCTTTGAGGTTTTTTTCTTTTTTTTCATTTCTCTTGTTAAATTTTCAGCAGATACTTCTTTCAGTACCACCAGCACCAAATATTTCCACATTACTCAAGACAATAATTTACTCACAAAGGAAACATATCTGCAACTTCATTAATAACCAACTGTTTTTATTAGAGCATATACATTTGTGAAAACTGTACATTATACATTTTGGTTTCAAGGATTATAAATAAAGGAACTCACAGGTAGGGAGTTCTTTTTCACAGCAAGAAACTTTAAATAAACAAAGTCATGTTTTATTAAGTACATTGACAGACTTCATGTGCTGTCCAAAATGTAGTGTACAGTATAACAACCCATTAGAAAGAGGCTTTCATGTAAAATACAGCTGTGCACATTTTAGAAAAATACCAACAATTTGAGCTTTGTTTTAAAAAAGCTTAAAAATCATACATATATTTATAAATGGAACCAACATGCTCACCTTATAAACATATCCTTTAGTTATGTGTTACCCATTATTTCCAATTTGATACATATTTTAAATAAACACTTAATAAGATTAAACATTTTATTATTTTATTTTTTTAAAAAAATTAGCTTTCCCAGCATAAGAAGCTATGGGGTCAGGAAGAAGCAGAGTATTGAGACTGACAGGGACTTAAATGTTTGTTCTTGGGTAAAAACATACTTTCTAAATTTAAAAGTCAAAGCAAAATGTAAAAAATAAATAAATATACAAGTTGTAAATTTCATCTGCTCTCTCTCTCTTTGTCTGCTTTCTTCTGTATTTCATATTGGTCACACCCAGGATTATCAACATATTGTACTTCTGCAAAAGACACCACCATGTTACTACCCTGCAGGTGACAAAGCTTCAGTCCATGCCTGTGCTAACCTAGGAACTGTCTCTTCTGCATTGAAAAAGTAGCTAAAAAGTTAAAAAGGATATTTGATTGAGCCATGCAAATCTCAAAAGTAGTCAGGAATAGCTCCCCTCCGCAATACAGTGTTTTAAAGAGACTTAGTAAGACACCTTGCCTCCATGATTTCTTTTTAAATAATTATTTTTATAATGACCATGGAGTTTCTCTAAGTAAGCATGCTTGAGTAATAAAGAATAAATTATAAAACAGCAAAAATCAGATTATGTCAGAATAACAAAGAACTTCAAAAGACAAATATTTAAAGTAAAAATGTCTAAGCCTTTAAAATGTGAAATAAAATTACAAATGGACTTTGAAAAACATGAAAGGCATATAATCGAGAAGCAATTAACAAGGCTTTATGCTCTACCTGCATGTATTCAACGAAAATTGCAACTGGGGGGGGATAAAGAACGAAAGAGAAGAGCAGTTATTAATAGCATCTTGCTTAACTTTCATGGGAATTAACAGAGCCACTGACAAGATTTTATTTGGTTGTAAAGTACGTCAGCAATGAAACCGAATCCTTTAAACACCGATTACTGCAATCCATGCACAAGTTTGACTCTATTTCTTAGAATTCTGTTGTCTTTCTGCTTTTAAAATTTAGCACCTCCTAAGTGCATAACTAATTCTCCTCGGTCATGTTAAAAATATTTAAAATTAAATTATTCTTTAGAAAGATACAATGCCTTCAAATTGCTAAATTTCAGAGATAAATAACCTTTTACAGATTTAAGAATATATGACATGAAAATTGATGTATCTGCATGAAAATAAACACACTTTGAATCAGTGTTTTGTTGCTTCTTTTCCTTGAGATGCAACAAGTGTGCTTTGTCTGGCCAGGACCACATGTTGTATGTGACTCTGCCTCATACTTAAATAAACAGCAAAAATGAACACAGTCGTGCACAAGCAAACGAAACGCTCTCTCCCAGAACATTCCAGGAGATGTTAAAGCAGCAGGTCATGGCATAAGACTGGTGAGTGATGCTGCTACCTATTTCTTCTACTGAGATAGGAGTGAACGTTGGAACCACTTCCACAGCAACCAATCCTGTGATCGCATTCCTTGGGCAGTCCTTTCCCAGCTCCCTACTAAAAACGTCAGATGGTAAAATAGAAATGCAGCTGTTGACTTCCGTCAAAAAAAAAAAAAAAAAAGGAAAAAAAGAAAAGCAGCTCCATACATTTCCAGTTTAGTCACACTCAGCTAGTACAGATGGAGTAGCCAATGCCAAGAACTTCACCAGATGGGGCTGCTTCAGCAGATTTTAAAGAAGAATTATTATTAAGTTTTGCTCTCCAACAGGGCTGCTTGCTTCAGCCCTCAGAGGACCCCAAAGCCAAAAAGCACTCCTGGGGGAACTGAACAGGTCCTCTGGCTGAATTTTCCAAGTTCCATCTCTCGCGATCCCATCCTAATTCCAAGCCTCCTTCCCTGTGTCTGAGTCTGACTGAGGTGTGCCACTTAAAAGGCGGATGACACCACTGTAGAGAACTGTGGGCTAACACCACTAGTTGTCATGACTTCACTGAAGGGTCAAAATAGTTATATCATTAAGTAACTATGCTGAATCACATTCAGGCACAGCCAAAATTAAAGTGAAGGGCAGTATGTAGTTAAAAAAAAAAAAAATTATAAATTTGAATATGAGAAAATTTTATATATTGGGATTTTATAGAGAAATTAAGGCTATTTTCTTACCTTTCCTAATTCCAATCAAGTTAGAAAGTGAACAAAAAGAATGGCTAACCCGATATTCAATAGCATGACCAGGACAATCATGACTGAATTAGGGCCCTGAAAGAAAACAGAGTAAAACAAGTGTTAACTTTTTTCATGTTAATACCAATGTATAAATTTGTTCACAAACCCTACTGCCAAAAAAGAAAAAATAAAACCAAACTAAACCAGAAATGTTGGCGTAAATAAGGCATGAATAATGCCAGCAGTTCCAAAACGGATAACATAAAAACAGCAATGCTATATATAGATGGAGCTGTTTCTGAACTTTCTATTAGAAATGAGTCTAGAATTGATTTATTCTAAAAAAAAAAATGATTCTTTAAAAATTTCTTTATTCAACTCAAAACACAAGGTAACAGTATGGGGGGAGACAAAATTCACCAAAACCAGGGCTAGGGCCTAATGGGAACTGCATTTATTCCCATTTGTTGTTAAAGTATTATTCAGATGAAGAAGACCTGTTTCCTCACAAAGGCAGTTGAAACGTAACTGTGAAATCCTTAGGACAATAAAGCCTCCAACGGAAAATTTAGGTAATACTCATAATGAGGTCCTCTGAATCCTGCTTCTTCCTGATCCTTTTTTGGGACAATAGTCCCTCTTTCAAGTAAAAACTGCAAATGGGAAGTCCAACACCTTCAGAAATTATTTTGCAGGTATCAACTTTTATTTTTCTGCTGGCAAACTGTATTTCAGCAGTCAAGTTATATTTAACAAACTGCAGAATCCTATTTTGATAAATACCAGTGTAAAAAATACCAGAGAGCTCACGGTAACCAAACTTTTTTTTTTTTTAAAACATGTTTTTAAAAAAACTTCCTATGACCCATCTTTTCAGATTTAAGCATGAAGACACAATCTTGGTATTTACTCTTAAGATAGTATCTAATGCATAAACAGGAGCTCTGGTGGCGTAGTGCTTAAGGCATTTGATTGCTAACCAGAAGGCTGGCGGTTCAAACTCACCAGCAACTACTCAGAAGGAAGACTGGGCAATCTACTCCCATAGCGATACTGCCTTGGAAACCCAAGGAGGCGTTGCTAGGAGTTGGAACTGACTCAATGGCAGTAAGTTTGGTTTGGTTTGGTAATGCATAAACAGCATTAAAAGCATTTTGAGCTGGCCGTTAAAATTAGGTAGTTTTATTGTCTTTAATTTACAGATGAGGAAACAGTTGTACTATTTCGAATATCAAATAAGACTACACTGAAACAATGTGACAAACTCTTCAAAATGCTACATGTTTTTAGGGGAGTGGTGTTCAATTGCCATTGGCAAAGTACTCATCTTCTAGAGTCTATAATTTCCATCAGCTCAATTCAACTCACTGCTATCAACTCAATTCTGACTCATAAAGACCCCCACTGGGTTTCCAAGGTTGTAAATCTTAGGGAAGCAGACTGCCTCATTTTTTTTTTTTTTTGCTGAGAAGCTAGTGGATTCAAACCACCAACCTTCTGGTTAGCAGCCAAATGCCTTACCCATTGTACCACCAGAGCATCTTATAATTCCCATAGTATCAGTAAAAACATCAAATGACCAACTGCTCTTTTAGAACAGAGTGTCCTAACTTAATAGGAGTGCTTGTCAATTATAGTTAACTTAGAACATATAAATAATATATGAACTCTTCTAACTCTGAAAATAATGGAGATAATCTTCCATCATCATAATTCAGCACAGAGATTAATGAAATGCTACTCCTTCTACATGCTTTGATTAGCCTTTGTTTAAAAGTGTGTTAAGAACATTGGGAATCACTTCAACTCCTTTGGGCCAGTAGTTTTAATTCATAATTCTCAAAGGTACTTAGAAATATGAAAGAAGATGAAAAGTATACTGGGTCAGAACAATAAAATGTAGAGTTAGGTGTTTTACAGGAGCCCTACGAAGAGAGATACAGGAGAGAAAAACAACTTCATAAACTTAAGGTATGCTTAACCTTCAACCTGTTTCCTAAAAGGCATTTTTGCATGATTCCACGACTTTCCCTAGCTCTTTTAAATTGGATATATTTTGGGTCTTGTGGTGCAGTAGTTAAGGCATTCGGCTTGCTAACCAAAAAGTCAATGGTTTGAACCTACCAGCCACTTCATGGGAGGGAGATGAGGCATTCTGCTTTCATAAAGACTTAAGCTTTGGGAACCCTACGGGGCAGTTGTACTCTGTCCTACAGGGTCACTATGAGTCAAAATCAACTTGATGGCAATGGGTTTGCTTTTTGGTTTATGTTCTCTTGGGCTCGAATTGAGTGTACTATCTTTCTTTAAGTGTTGGCCTGCATCTCCCTGTACTGGTACTCGAGATTCAATGAATAATGAGTACATATATCCAAACCATATACACTTTTTTTTTCCCTATTGAAAACATATTGCTGTTAGTTACTGCTGAGCTGATTGCCACTCATGGTGACCCCATGTGTGCAGCCTAGAACTGCTCCATAGGGTTTTCAATGCTGTGACCTTTCCGAAACAGATCACTACTCATCTCTGGGTGGGTCTGTACCGCCAACCTTTTGGTAAGTAGTCGAGTACTTAACTGTTTGTGCCACCCAGTGACCTTGACTGAACACACGTATGTATTAACCCCACCAGTGTTGCTCCATTTATAAAGCTACTTTAAAGAGGACTCAGTGAGGATGGCAGTAATCCAGCAATGGAAGGTTCAAACAGCAACAGGTGAAAAATTCTGGCAAGCCATGTTTAATAGGCAGATATGAAGACATGACCTGTATGTTTTCATACCTGGGCTGGGCACAGGCTGGAAAGCTTTAAGGTGAAGGCCCATAAATATGACCGTGGTGGCCAGTGGTAGCTTAAAATAGCAAAATGAAAAAAAAAAAAAAAAATCAGTCTTGCTTTTCAAGACTGACTGGGACAGGTGCAATTAAAAAAAAAAAAAAAAAAGCTGTTACAGGGCAAAGTGTATGTCTTGATTGGAAGAAGACTTTCCTGCAGTTACAGAATAAAATGCAGGAAGTTCAAAACATGGACAAAGTTTTAACCCAAGAAGTTAATTTTGTTTTTTCCCCCAAGAATGTCACTTATTTAAACTACAAGGAATTTTCTGCTGGAAGTGTTAGTATAGTTTATAACTGAAAACACATGTACAAAACATAGCTTAATTTAGTGTTAATTTATTATTATTTTTAATGTGAGGTCCAAATGGGATATGATTAAGATTTTTAAGATTCATACCAATTTAAAACAAACATCAAGTAAATGTTCAAATAAATTCAGAAGCTGATCAGAGTGATGGCTGAAAAAAAGGTATAGGCAGTTCTTAGAACTGCTCAAGCTTCCCGACTGGAAGACCTCTCACTCATCTATTTGATGTCTCTACTGGTTCCTACTAGAGGTTCCACGTTGCAAAATCCTACAAAGATTTCAGTATCACATTGAATGTACTCCTATGGGACATGAACCCCCATGCAACCACTGCCCACAGGAGTCACAAACTTCCCGAAGAAGGTCATAGAGTAATCATAGAGCCTCCCTTCTCCTAGTCAACTAATGCATCTACTCTAAGGTTTGGCCTGTATTCCAGAAGATTTTTTGTACTTCCAAGAGATCTGTACCTCCAGTGTAATCCTGAGAATTAATCAAAATCTATTAGAATCTAAATTATTTATGCTTTAACTAGTATAGTGTTGAAACAAACATAATAATGGTAACCAATGCTTTTGAGTACTGACTGTGTGCAAGGCACTGTGCTAAGAACTTTATAAGTACTACTTCACTAGTCTTCACAACAATCTTATGATAAAAGTACAGAGAAAACCAAGGCACAGAGTAGTTAGGAAACTTGCCCAAGGTCACACAGCTGGTAAGTAACAGAGCTAAGATTTGAACCAAGGAAGTCTGGCACCAGAGTCCACACTCTTTGCCACCAGCCTATACTGCCTCAAATTTTATAAGCTGACTAACTGGAATTCCAGATTCAGTTTGGTCTTCCACTCTCCAAACAGTGATTCTGACTCAAACTGGATCTCTTGGTCACCTACAAAAAGCACTAACTGATTGATTCTGGTTCTCCCTTAAATGTCTGATTTAGTTTCAATGAATTTTTCAATTTTTATTTATAAACATCTAACACTGTGTCTGGTAGCATAGTGCCTAAGGCACTTGCCTGCTAACCAGACGGCTGGCGGTTCAAACCCACCAGCCACTC